AGTATTTTGACATCACAAACATCTAATTTGAACCAGTGTTGCATTAAGCATACCACATGACACACAGAAACCGATGTTTATCTGTGATTTTAATATTTACTTTTGAATTAAGAATTTGAGTTATGTGTAGTACTAAAATTTGAATTATAATCTACAGTTTGATACCAAACTTATTGACATAAATTCATGAAAAAGTGGTTAAATAAAATTTTGAACGTGAGTCAACAAACGAGATGACGTGGCCTTTCATCTGTAACCCCTCTCCAAAGGGTTAAATAGGGAAAGATATTTGGGAGTACATTTTTTTGGCTTGCATATAATTTAGCACCTTAATTGTACAACTGATACATATTGATTAAGTATTTAATACATTGCTATTATTTAAACTATCTCTATTTGACAAATATAAATTCATATTTGGGCTCATTATTGTATTATGGTGGAAGATATTTTTGGATCACCGATGTTTTAGACATTACATTTTATAATGGCTTTTCAGATGAAAAACTCATTTTGATCATTCTATTATATATGGATATCTTAACTTACTAGAACATCTAGCAAAGTCTTGTACGTTTCAGCGTGTATGATAATGTGTTTTTTTTTATGTTTATGGTGCATGATAGAAGGGGAAGTATACTTTTAAAACTCTTGCCATAATATATTTTGCTACCCTGGTATATAAGTATAGAAAAAAATATCTATGCTAACTAACATACAACAAATGTAACCAATTGTATACATGGAAATAACTCTTATATTCACAAAAATATTATTTTGCCTTTGCTCCCCAGTAACTTGATGTTTAAGTAAAGGCTTATAACACTCAAAATTGGGATTTGATACTTATGGTGGGCACAGTTTAGATAGCCCATCATGTAGTTTTGTGCTAATGGAAATGAATGTTTTTGTATTTGTTATTTAAATAAAGATAGTTTAATCCAAATAACATTAGATGTTATAGAGTTAAAAAGTCTTAAATTCACAGGTTTTGAGGTTTTAAAAAAAGTCTTGAATTTAACTTCTGTGCATATTGATGCTGTATCTTTTTCTTAACTTTGGTTTGTTCCACATTGCACCTATGCTTAACAGCATTACAGTACTTTGCTTTGATGCTGTATCTTATTCTTAACTTTGGTTTGTTACACATTGCACCTATGCTTAACAACATTACAGTACTTTGCATTGATGCTGTATCTTATTCTTAACTTTGGTTTGTTCCACATTGCACCTATGCTTAACAGCATTACAGTACTTTGCATTCATTCTATCTAGGCTTATACGAAACTGGGAACACTAAATCAAGTTTGCTATGTGATCATTCTATAATTTAGAATATAGATATTTATTTTTTACAGATTTACTAAAAATAGCAATATTAATTAAAGGGAAGTCAGTGAGGTTATGCCTAGCATTTACATTTTTATCTGTTATAGTTTGATAGATCAATTACAAGCATGTTTTGCTTGATATTTGAATTCCAGAGTGATATGGATGAACTTAATGATGAATTGTACTGAATGAAGAGGTTTAATTCGTTTAGTTTATTACTATTTTATTCAACTAGAATTAATTAGAATCTTTGTATGATTCATGTTTTTGCAAAATTGTCCTTTTCTCTACCCTCAGTTTTTTCACCTTCCCCTTCTATTTAGCAAGTATGAATTGAAGATTACTTTGTTAATTATTGATGAATCTGTGGTTATTTCAGATGTTCAGTGCCATAACAAAAATGGTTTTAAAGACAAAAAAAGAACAGAAAGAACGACAACAACAAACTCGAGATAGTACTGTTAAGCTTCAACGAGGATCTCAGCGAGGGAAGAAGAAATGCTGTTAATAATAGTTTATTAGGGGTGTGTATAGATATGTAAGAAATTAAAAAAAGTATGTGTGGTATTTATCTAAGATCGATACAGTTGCCAGTTTTTTATTTTTTATAATGGGCTAAATGATGACCTTTTAAGTAACCTTTCTTTGTCGAATCAAAATACAAAGTTATTGAAAAAGGGGAATAAGATTTACTAAAAAAGTGCATGTGTAACATTAGAGAGATGACAACTGTTGCTAAGGGAAGAAAAAGGGCAGGTTGGTGTTCTGTGCTTGAATAGTTCTAATTTATTTATAGATGTTTGGCTAAGGCTTTATAGAATTAGATGAATAATAAATTAGTTTGTTGTAAGAAACTTGTCAGTAACTTGGATAAGACTTGACATTTAATGACTTCTTGTGACTAACTCATTCTTTTAATAACATTTTATATAGATAAAATAGTAATTTACAATAATTAGTGTAGATTTAAAGAAATCCACTTTTGAGCTCTAACAATGAGTTGTTACTCCTTTGGGCAACTATTAACTCTCTCTCTTTCAATTGAAATGGTTTCAAGCATAAAATACAAAATTATTGAATTCATCAAAATATTTGAGAAAGTTAATGAATTGATAAAATATGTTAGTTTTTAATGTTTAACTTATTTTTAAACAACATTAAAAGCTACTGTTTAAATCTTGGTGTCACCCTAAACTTCTCTAAAGGGACAGAGTTGGGTGATAGGAAATTATGAATATTATATGGGTTAAATTAGTTGCGTATGTGTGTGCAGCATTAACTCTCAGCATGATGCTGGATATTTAGAAATACTCATTTTTCACTTGTGATACATTAGAAATGTAGTTACTTGAAAAGAAATATGGCATTAAATATGATTAATTAGACCTTAATGTGATTGCTTTATTGGAAGAATAAACTTCTCATATTGTAACATGAATAAAAAAATGTTCCATATATTTTCTTACGTTAGTGACATTTTGAAAGTCCTAATGAAACAAAAGATAGTATTTTAAGAAACAAAATAATGCCATAGATATCAAGCTCAAAAAATTAAACTAATAGATACAATATAGCAGATCACTGAAAATAATATTGTTTTCAAATGGAAGTTGTATATTCTTATTAGATTACTGAGTAAAGAGCAAATAAACACAGTTTTTGAACATTTTTGCAGGATAAAAAGACTGGAATTGAAAGCATCATTGGGTGATTTCTAAGACCCCTTTCAGCTGCAGGAATATAAAAGGGTATGAGCTGTGTTCATGTCCAGGATTTAGAGTTTAAGACTTAACCTGATATCACATAGGACTTGCAGGAAATCATGCACTTGTCACCTGGAAAAGCTTTAGCACCAATGTTCTGGTTTTTATTCTGATTGATGATTTTTGCTGGCATAAACATGAAGACAAAGAAAACTATGTGCCATGTTTTGTTGGTGATTGGCTGTACAATTGGTTTTTTCAAGACAGCTGAGTAATGAATCAAGATAATCATGATTGGATCATCATGTGTAAGCTACTGACACAATAGGATCAAGACTATCAAGTCATTTCTTTGTTGTACATAACTCTAACTGCTTTACTTGAACAACCAGTGTTTGATACAATGTTTATAAAGTAGACAAACATAAAAGACACTTCAGTGACACAGCCATTTAGTTAACTGAAGAATCTTCAGCTATTGCTGCAGAATCTGTGATTCAGTGATGATAAATGTAAGAGGCCAACTGTGAACAAGACAAGCATGGGATTAAAAACGAGTCTGAACTCTGAATTTTATTCCAAGTCAAGCTGAGTTGTTCATCTAATTCAGGAAATTTTCATGAAAAGGACATATTGTCCAAGTGATTTATAAATAATGGATAAAAATAAATATATATCACTAGATCATTTCCTCTAAACTTTTTTAAAACTAATTCACTTATGATTGTGTATTTTATTTCCATGATTTCATTATACTGTGTACTTTATTAGAACTTTTTTGTGTGCATGTTTTTTTACTTAGATTTGCCATATGATTTTCTGGCTGATGATACTTTAACTAATAATAACCATTAATTATGTTAATGAGAAAAGATTAATGATTTTAACAAATTTTCTTGATACTTTTGTTCTTTAGCAAAGTGTATCAAAAATGATTCACTGCACGCAAATGTTGTTTAAGATTTTTGGAATACATCAGTGCAAAGAAAAAAAAAGAATAATTTTTTGGGGATTGGTATATTTTTTCTGTTAATAAAGTTTAATTGAAAATAAAATATTTAAATGCTCATTCCCATATGTTCCCACCATTTCCTTGATTTTACTTTTTTTCATGGGCCAATGATTTTTTTTGTATAAATATGTATATATATAATATATTGCTGATAAAAGTTAGATTTTTTTTCTGTCTTTTAGTTTAATTTTACAGAAAATATTATATGTTTGATTCTAAGTAACTGTGTTTAGGGGACTCGGTGCTCTAACTAGTGCCTGCTCTTTAGCTGTTTTTGTTTACCATACAGTAGTATTTCTATGAGTATTATTTTGAGGCAGAACATTTATTAAAGTCATCTAATCATCATATTAAGAGAAGAGGTGTTGTTAGGAAATGTTCCTACAAGTAAGCATTTTCAGTGGGGTAAAGTATCAGTAATTTCTTTTTTTAGTTGATAACATGTTAGTGTTCAGTTAATATTTTTGGGGATATTCATGCTCTATAGGAAGATTATGTTATGCATTAGCTTATAAATCCATAGTTTACAGTTTCTTTTTTAAGTGTTTCCTTTTTTTATACTACCTCATACAAATCCTTGGAAAGTCATGATAGTAGTGATGCTTTTAAACTGATCAAAGTATCGTTTCTTTAATTAGATCAGTAAGAGTTTCTTGCAAAAGGTTTTCCTAAAAGGAGGAAAAGAATGCTATAAGAAAGTAAAGGATTAGGTGACAAAGTTACTGAACTATGGGTAATAATTATTTAAATAAAAATTATGGTATTATCAGCAGCCAATAAAAACCTGGTGATCAGCATGAGCAATATTGTGAATAGCTGTATAAAGGGTTAGCAAACTGGGGAATGTCTGTTAAGTTCAATAGAGCTATCAGCACTTTAGTGGACCTTTGCTGTTGTACTGTGTAATGACATGATTTTTGTTTTCAATAAAGCTTACAATAAAAGTATGTGTACAAAAAACACCTGTTGCACTAGCTTAACATTTATTGTCAATATGATTTATTGGTAGTAGTTTAAGACATGAGCAAATTCTTATATTGAGATCCTCCTCATGTCTATATACAGTAACACTTTTTATGCTGAATAATGTACAGAAGGGTTTAAAAGCTTGAGTTAAATTCACCTGTGGCAGGAACTGTGATGATGAACTCTATGTTGGTACATTTAAATTTTCCATTATGTTGAACCTTACATTTTGGCAGTTGGCTGTTAGTAAAGTAACATTGTTTGGGATTTGCCAAGTAAATGATTTTAAAGTTTTTGGTACATCGCACCAATAAAAGTTTATTACTTTTTTTACTAAATATATTAACATTATGTAACAGTATTATCTAAAATTCATATTAATTCTAACAGCTAACATAAAACTTCTAATTTAGACAAATGAAATTGTGTAAATAATTAAAGCTGCTTAATTCTGAAGATACGAGACAATATGTGGTCTTATAAAGTACCAATAAATTAGAAACATATGTGTATTTCAAGTTTCAAATATAACATCTTACTGTTTGATTGGAGCATGTTGTTGAAATCTAGGCAAAGGTTTTATTATGAATTAGCAGTTTGTCCTTCACAGGTTTGGTACATTTTAATAGGAAAGTGTTGTTTTTTTTTAATATAAATAACACTTGTTTAGGATCACCAGTGATATGTTTCATCATGTTGTAGTTGAAACTATTTCTTACAGAAATAAGTATTATATCTTGATCTCTGCCATACTAAACTTCCCATGTATATGTTAATAACTGATTTATAGTTTTCATTTGTAGTTCACAGTCTGTCCTTATTCACTGGGGTGAAAGAAGGTAATGTTCTTGAGTTTAACGAAATATGGTTAAAGTTCTAAGTTTCTGCTTAACTTTCCAGTAAATTAAAATATTACATGCTTTTTTATTGTGCTTGATTAACATTATTTGTCTCCAAAATTTGTTTGTTACAATTGTTCCCCAGTCAGGCATATGAAAACGAAATGCTTGTTTTCCAGTACCAAAAAGAACAGTTTGAAAATAACGTTGATCATGAGTTTAGTAAATTGGTAAATATCCATTTTTTGTTTTAACTTTGACTCTTTGGTGAGTAGTACCGTTATGTTCAATTTGATTGTAAACTTGTAATCACACAATTAATTTTAAGTTTTACATTTAACATCCTTAAACATAGCAAATGTAGAAGGTCCTTCGTATCTAATTGTTGATTATATTGTAATGTTGGGAAGAATGATTTTTTGCTTGCATATAAATAAATTTATTTCTTTGCACAATGTACGAATGCAGTGAACGCTTAATGCTCAGACATGCAATTGACCTTCATAAAAGGATTACATAAAAGTAGACAGTTTGTATGTGTTTTATGATAGCTTTGAACTTGCAGTCTACTGTATACAGTATTATTTTTAAATCTGATCATTATTTGACGAACAATTGAAAATTGCAAACGATAGATTTTTAAGAAAGCTTAATATGAAAAGTTTGCTTCAGATTTATTCAGCCATTATGAATACAGTGTAACAAGTAAGACATTTCAGTACATAAACATTGTAGTAAAAACACAAGCTGATTAAGGTACTGGCCTTTACAATTAATGGTGAAATACAAATACGTAACTTTTAAATGGGTGTATAGGGATCGAAATATTACATTCCCGAGGAATTTAACTTTGCTTGTGTAATATGTCTTTTTAGATGGTTTTCCCTATCAGGAATGCATGGACCATCCATATTCCTTTAATTATGACCAAGTAAAGTGAACATGTAGCATGGAATAAATATAAAAACAATTCATGAGGGAATGTGATCTTCATGATAGCTTTCCCTTGAGTGAATGTAATTTTATTTCATTATTTCTATACCTGGTGTACATTAAAACCAGTGTTTAGTTGATACATTAGGATGCTTCCAAGTAATTCATTCTGGTGTATTGGGTGTAGCATTGAAACTGGTGTTACTGATTACTGAAATATGTGTTACTGTTACTGAAACTGATTTGTGTTATGATGCTCGGGAAATCAAATATTGCTCACGAACTTCAAAAGGGTACAAGCTCTGTAATTTTCAACCATGGAATGTATTTTACACTTGCTGGACTGCTTTGTAACTTCTAAAAAAGTATCGCATTTCATAAACGTATTGTGCCTTGTCTATTCCGTCATAATCACATTTTTTACACACAAAAAGTATTATCTTATAGACAAAGTTTTGCCCACAGATACGTCTTTCATAAACTTTTGTAATGTAGACAGAGTTGTTCGAGTCTTTTAAAAAAAAGTCTTCAGGAAAGGATACTAACGAATAGAAGTTTATCAAACGTAAAGTAAAATTCCTGTGAATCGTGAATGGAATGGACGATGGGCCAGATTTAGTGGTTACGGAAGTTCGAAATCGCGATATGCCCTTGAACAACGCCCTACAACTCTGAACACGTTAATAAAACGGCAGTCAATCACTATTGGGTAACGTGTAGGCATCTGTTGCTGCTGATTAGGTATTAGTTATCTTTCAATAATCATAAATTAGAGGTGTCGTCATGGACGGGGGATCTGTATCGACACACATTTCGAGAGAGGTCAAACTTCTTAAGACTTTCCTCCTGGTAGCTTAGTGGTACCTCTTAGGGTTAATAAAACTACAAATCGGGTTTCAATACTTGCGATGGGCAGAATATATATTTTGCTTATTATGTAATAGTGCGATTAACAAACAATTTATGCAAAAATGTATGTCCTGGTTGCTTAAAACAGTTGTATGTCGTGACAGTTTCATTTTGTCTTGATAATAAAGTCAATATCCCACAGATGCCCATTTAACTGACAGGAGCTTGTCCCAGCAATTAGTAACATACTTTTCATAGGAAAAGTTGGCCTTGTTTGATTATAAAACTAACGTATCTTTTGCTTTTCCGATGATCTGAAAATAATTTTTATATGCGTTGATCCTGACATTAATGTGGTTAATATACGTGAATTCTATTGGTGTTATGCGTCTTATTGTAGTTTTATCCGTGCTTGGTAAAATGATGTAAATGTGAATTTTGTCATCAGTTGAAGTATTGAAACGTTTACTAAACAACAATGTTTATACGTGCACATTCCCATGTTAACAAATTGTTGTTAGAAAAACAAGACGTGACAATTAAATGATTACGTTTCTTGTGTGTGTGTATATATATATATATATCAATATCGGTATATGTATGAACTTTTGCTGTAAACATTTGACCGAATAAAACTTGTGTCTACCATGGTATACAAAAGCCCTCCTTTAATTTCCAGAATTCTCTCATTCTTTTGTGACCACACAATATGATATAAGCTGATATAATATTAAATTGAGCAGGATTTCATTGGTTATTTTGACGATAATAGTATTCGCGACTTAACAGTACTTTCTAGTCAGATAATTTACTTTCTGATTACCTTTAATTATGCAAGAAACTTATATTTTTCTTATACGAAAATATTTATACATTTGTTTCATGAACTTTTAATACACATCGAT